ACACCTCGAGGCGAGCCACAGGGCACCCAGGGTGGACAGCAGCTGGGCGAGATGACTGTCCACATGGGGGCCACGAGAGGGCTGACGGCCTAGTGGAGCTCAGCAGAGCACCACGGGGTGGGCAACAGCAGCCCGGAGCAGTGAGGGGCACCTGTGCGTGGGGTGCTGGAACCCGAGAGGCTGGAGGGTGAGGGCAGGGAGGGCCTGGGCATCAGAACCCGAGCGAGGTGGTGCAAGTGTTTACAGGCCCAGCAGGCCCCAGGTCAGGAAAGGGGGCATCTGGGAGACATCTGGAGTGGGCTGGCAGGGTCAGAGAGTGAGAAGGGCCCCCGTGTGGACTTGGGGGAGACAGCCTGTGCGGGGTGGTGAGGGCATCCAGTAAGAGCGGCAGTGTGAGGCACACAGCAGGGTGGGAGGCTGCAGAGCAGGCAGGGCGGCGGTGCCCTGGGAGATACAATAGTTACGCAGCCCAAGAGGGTGGGGCCCAGGCAGGAGGCGCAGGACGGGAGAGCACCGGGCGGCATGTGGGAGCTGGGCCCTGTGGGGCACTGTCTCCAGGGGTGCTCCAGTGCGCAGTGAGAGAGAACATGGATGTGGGCTTGGCCACGCTCTGCAGCAGGAAAACAAGGCCCGGTGTGGGGAGAGGGTGTGGGGGCATCAGAGGGGACAGCAGCAATCACCCTTGCGGGGAAGTGGCTACCTCGGGGCGTGCCTGAGGGGTTCAACACACGGAGACTGAGGACGGTGGCAGCCAGTGAAGGGAGGCAGCGTCAGGGCACGCGAGGCAACCAGCAGCCACACTAGGGTGTTAGATTAGAACTGCGACACCAACAGGACTCACAGCTCTTAACAGACACAGATACAGAGAAACAGACAGGAGCAAGTGTAAATTCCCAATCACCAAGAGAAATTTCACAACACCCGACAGAAGACAAGCCAAGGAGATAAAGCAATTACAGTTTAGGGTCACTATCCTTAATGCTGATTCACATCAGTATAAATATAATCAACAGCCACAAAGCAGCAGGTGCAGATGATTCCTCAGGCCTTCTTTAGTTCTAAGCAACAGACAATTCTTTTCTTAGACAAACAATTCCAGAGAATAGAAAAAGCCAAATTTGCCTCAACTGAATTTTACCAAATTACTATAATGTTTAATCAAGGCCAGAGAGTGATAGCACAACAGAGAAGAACATGCATGCTGGTCTCGAATAGAACCACGAATGCACAGAGCAGAATCTCAATCAGCCGAAGCCACCTTGCACATCTGCACGTACAAGAGGGGCTGAATGCAGCCCAGGAATGCGATGATGAGTACTGAACATTAGGAAAAGTATAAGCACAACCTGTATAAAGTGGCACCAACTATGGAAAGGAAGAAAAAAAAACAGCTGCTGTTTCCAGATATTATTTTATTAATGCTTTATTTTTATTTGAAAGGCTGAGTTAGAGAGAGAGAGAAGGGGAGAGACAGAGAGAGAGAAAGACCCTCCTTCTGCTAGTTCACTCCCCAAAGGGCCACAATGGCCTTGCCAAAGCCAGGAGCCGGGAGCTTCCCTGGGTCTCCCACCTGGATTCAGGGGCCCAAGCACTCGGGCCGTCCCCTGCTGCCTCCCAGAAGAGTCAGCAGGGAGCTGGACGGGAAGTGGAGCCGCCGGGTCTCCAAGCGGCACCTACATGGGTTCCAGCGTGCGGGCAGTGGTCTCACCACGAGGCCACAGCACCCTCCCCTCCAGAGGATATGACTGCCCACACAGGGAGCCCCAAGGTCAGATAACAGCAGGAAACTGACAGCAGGCAGAACACAAGGCTGCAGGCACATGATCACTACTCGGGAACAAGATATCCCCATATGCCAGCAGGGAACACCTAGAAATCTGAATGTAAGAAATTTACTTTGGGGCCTACATTGTGGCAAAGTGGGTTAAGCCAATATCTGCAACACTGGCACCTCATGAGCGCCGGTACAAGCCCAGGCTGCTCTACTTCCCATCCAGGTCCCTGATAATGCACTTGGGAAAGCAGCAGGATATGGACAAGTGCTGGGGCCCCTGCCACCCCCATGGGAGGCCCAGATGGAGCTCCTTGCTCCTGGCTTCGATCTGGCCCAGCCCCGGTCATTGTGGCCATCAGGTGAGTGAACCAGTGGATTGAAGATCTCTCTCTCTCTCTCTCTCTCTCTCTCTCTCTCTCTTTCTCTCCCTCCCTTTTACTCTCTGTAACTCTGATTTTCAAATAAGTAAATAAGTGTTAAAAAAATTTATTTTAGAACTCTGTCAAAATCTTTAAAATGGCCAAGAATGAGTCTAATAAAATTAATTTCTAAAGAAAAGCATAAAACTGGACATGGGGAATTAAAAACACGGTGATGGGTAAGCTGACCACTGGAAGAGAAACTGGAAAATAGTCCACGTTTCTACAGGCTCTTAGTATATTTCACATCAGTGGAGAAAGGGAGAGGACATATGGTCCCAAATAGCTGGAAACCAACGAAAACAGCTTAAACAGCGAGCCATCTCTCAACACAGACACGCCACGGCAGGCTCTCACTCCCGGTCCGGGACTCAGGCTCTGCTCTGCGTTCCTCAGGGGAGCAGGGGCTCCCTGCACCATCACAGAACGCTCAGAGGCCCAGCGCACACCTCGAGGCAGAAAGCAGTGCCCGCTTCTGCACCGCACCCTCCCTGCCCCGGTGAGATCCGGACCCAGCCAGCAGCCGGGAGTGGGGGCCGCACGTCAGCCTGACTCCTCTCAGGACTTGCCTGGGCCAAGCAGGGAAAAGGCAGATGCTGTCACGAAGCCAGTGTCCTCCAGACAAGCAGCCTGCAGCACAACGCAGGACTCCGCGATGTGCGGGGAACAGCCCAGCTAAAGGCAAGCAGAGAAGTTAGATTCCGCTCACTCCGCAAACAAAAATGAACTCCCGGTGGGTTAGAAATTCAAATGTCCAAAACAAAAGTTCACTGCTAATGGAAAATGTATTTAGATATTAGAGGAAGAAAAGGGTTTCTAATATAAAACATAAAAAAGCACATACCGTAAAAGATAACACTAGTTAACCGTATACTAGTAATACTAGTAATACTAGTTAAAACTGTAAACTTTTATACAATAAAGTTTGCAGGCATCAAAGTCAAACCACGGCCTGCAAGAATTGTCTGTATGATAAACTTCTAGAAGTCTAATATCTAGACTGTATAACGACACTTTATCCATTACCCAACAGAGTAAAAAATGGACAAGAGAGGAAAAATAGCTCAGGACGAGGAAGGTGAAGGCCCAGAGCACAGCAGAGGACGCTGCGGCTCCCGCAGGCAGGGGTCTACAAGCCGTGAGAACTGCGCTGGCCACTGCAGAAGCCGTTAAAGGACCCCGAGCGCTGGACACCGCGCCGAGCAACCACTGTCTCCGTTCTGAGCAGAGGCCGGCCTCTGCGGTCCTGGTCCATTAGCTCAGCGGCACGCGTGCTCAAGGACTAACAATCATCTCACGGCGTGCACGGATGGACCCACGGAACTCGCACACGCGCACTGGAAGACGTGCTCCAGAACATTCACTGTATCCTTGTTCTAATTGCACACACGTGCGTGCACACACATGCAGACACACAGAGCAGCCCAACTCAACGTCAGCATGGACTGGATAAACAGAATGTATAGGTCCTAAGACAAATATGGAAAGGGGTAAATTACAGTGAGCCCGCGTGGGAAATACCAATAGTTATCACCCTTGCCTTGTAACATTTTATACTTCCTTGTGAAAGTACTTCATGAGTTTCAAAAATACTTCATACTTTTTAAAACTACAATTCTTTTAAGAAGCTCTCCATGAAAGTCAGTCATCAGTCACAAAGAGTTCCCACGCCCCACACCAACTCCTGGACACTGGGAACGCAGTCTGCCTGCCTCCATCTGCGTTGAACACCACTGTACGGCACACGCTCCGCGCTGGGCAAGGGTTAGAGTGAACACACATGCTCCGTGCTGCGTGAGGGTTAGAGAGTGAACACACACGTTCCCTGCTGCGTGAGAGTTAGAGAGAACACACACGCTCCCTGCTGCGTGAGGGTTAGAGAGAACACACACGCTCCCTGCTGCGTGAGGGGAGGGGGAGGTGCCGTTGGGAGAAAGGTGAACACACCCTCCGTGCTGCGTGAGGGTTAGAGAGTGAACACACACGCTCCATGCTGCATGAGGGTTAGAGAGTGAACACACACCCTCCCTGCTACGTGAGGGTTAGGGACCAGGTGCCGTTGGGAGAAAGGTGAACACACACCCTCTGTGCTGCGTGAGGGTTAGAGAGTGAATACACACGCTCACTCCATGCTGCGTGAGAGTTAGGGACAAGGTGCCTTCGGGAGAAACCTGAACACAGAAACATTTCACAGGAGAAGCAGTACTAGGAGGGACTAGAGCTGCCAGGAGATCAAGATCGGTCCAAATGGCATAAAACTGAAACAAGGTGTCCACAGGTCAATTAAATGTTCAAAAACATCCTGAGTATGCAGGGGGAAGCCAAAGATGCCACTGACAAAAACTTGTTAAAACCCACGGCTGGCGCTACGGCGTGGCAGGTTAAACTACCGCTGGAGACTCTAGCATCCCATATGGGTGCTGGTTCAAGTCCCAGCTGCTCCACTTCTGATCCGGCGCCCTGCTAATGGCTCAGGAAAGCAGCAGGAGATGGCCCAAGGGCTCCTGCACCCATGTGGGAGACCTAGAGGAAGCTCCTGGCTCCTGGCTTCCGCCTGGCCCAGTCCCAGCCTTGCATCCATTTGGGAAGTGAACCAGCAGATGGAAGACCTCTCTCTCTGACTCTAACTCTGCCTTTCACATAAATAAATAAATCTTTATTAAAAAGAAAAAAAAAAAAACAGCGTGGAAAAGTTCCTAAACTGGGACCACTTAGAGAACACCATGCAGGGTGCATGTCCTGAAGCCTCTCACAAATACCAAAGTGTCTCCCCCTAGTCCAAACCGGACACCCCCACGGCAACAGACCTGCAGCAGGAGGCGCTCGAAGGCCAGGAAGTTGTCCCACTTGGCCGTGTGCGGGTGCTTCAGAGTCTGCACTGTGGCCAGCCCCAGCTGGAGGAGCCCGCAGTGACTCGTCAGAGCCTGCAGGTTGTTCCTGAAGAGCTGGATGTAGGACGTGAGCTGCCCCGCGGTGACTCTCCCTGGAAAAACACACAGGCCATCAGCACAGCTCTTCTGGGAGCAATAAAGGTAACGAGAAAGATGCCGCTAAACACGCCTCCGCCAGCGTTCGCACCACTAAACATGCCTCCGTCCACATTCGCGCCGCACCTCCGAGTTGACCACAAGCCTGCCTGAGCGTCCATGATTCTCACAGCGTGGTGAAAACGGCCGAGTGGACGCTGTCACCTGAGCTTGTTGAGTAAGGAAACAGATGTGACGGGATTTGGCCACGGTCATGTTGCTAGTGGGATCCACTCTATAACTCTGTGTTGCCCGGTAGATCCACTCGCAAACAAAATCACACCAACAGACCTTGGTGCAGCTCAATGTGCAGAATCGCTCTGTGACACAGCACACGGACTCCTAAAAGGCAAAGGTAGGGTCTCTAACTGTGTGTGCGCATGTACCCAACAGGAGGAGGCTGGAGAGGTGGGGACAGAGGGAGCCGCACGCACGCTGATGGACAGCATGAAGATGCAGTCAGGCAGGAGAAAGAAGTCTGGCTGCCCTACTGCTCAGACGTGATGACACCTTTGTAAAAAGCTAGAAGAGGGGCCGGCACTGTGGCATAGCAGGTAAAGCCACCGCCTGCAGTGCCTGCATCCCATATGGGTGCCGGTTCAAGTCCCAGCTGCTTGACTTCTGATCCAGCTCTCTGCTGTGGCCTGGGAAAGCAATAGAAGATGGCCCAAGTCCTTGGGCCCCTGCACCCGCATGGGAGACCCAGAGGAAGCTCCTGGCTCCTGGCTTCAGATCAGCACAGTCCCAGCCATCGTGGCCAATTGGGAAGTAAACCAGTGGATGGAAAATCTCCCTCTCTCTCTCTCTCTCTCTCTCTCTCTCTCTCTCTCTTTGTCTCTGCTTCTCTGTAACTCTTTCAATAAATAAATAAATCTTTTAAAAAAAAAGCTAGAAGAAAGGATTTTAATGTTTTCATCATGAAAAATGATATTTAGAAAGATGAATATGTTTATCCTATTTGAACATCACACAATGGATGCCTGTTCCAAAATAACACATGGCATCCCATAAATATGTATTTTATGTATCAATTAAAAATAAAAGTGAGGAGAGTCCTGTTAGGAATATAGCTAAAATCTTGTCATTGATATCAGTGGTTTTGTGATGATATTCATGAGGATCAAAGCTGCAGGGGGCAACCATGTACAGAGAACTGGGTAACAACACTGGAAGACAAGCCAGCAGCACAAGGGCTGGTGTGGGGAGCAGCCTGCTGTGGTGCAAGGGGGTAAGTGGCCGCCTGCAACAGACATCCCACAGCCTGGGGTCCCGGCTGCTGCACTTCCAATCCAGCTCCCTGCTAATGTGCCCAGGAAAGCAATGAAAGACGGCCCAATCACTTGGTTCTTGCATCCATACTGGAGGTCTACATGGAGTTCCAAGTTCCTGGCTTCAGCCTGGCCCAGCCCCCAGCTTGGAATGAACTGGTGGACAGAAGATGGATCTCTCTCTCTCTCTCTCTCTCTCTCTCTCTCTCTCTCCCCCTACACCTCCATAGCCCTCTCCCTCTCTCACTCAGTCTTTCAAACTAAATAAATAAAGGGGGTTTGCTCCTTTTCCTTGCTGAGTAGTAGTTCACGGAATGAAGTACAGGTAAATGTTTACTAAGTATTTACTCCCGCAACAGTTAATGCTCATTTGGGTTGCTTGTAATTTTTAGAAATTATGAATAGACAATAGGCTAATCCTCCACCTTGCGGCGCCGGCACACCGGGTTCTAGTCCCGGTCGGGGCGCCGGATTCTGTCCCGGTTGCCCCTCTTCCAGGCCAGCTCTCTGCTATGGCCAGGGAGTGCAGTGGAGGATGGCCCAGGTGCTTGGGCCCTGCACCCCATGGGAGACCAGGAAAAGCACCTGGATCCTGGCTCCTGCCATCGGATCAGCGCGGTGCGCCGGCTGCAGCGGCGGCCATTGGAGGGTGAACCAACGGCAAAGGAAGACCTTTCTCTCTCTGTCTCTCTCTCTCACTGTCCACTCTGCCTGTCAAAAAAAAAAAAAAAAGAAAGAAAGAAATTATGGATAGAGCCTTCATAAATACCAGTGTACAGGCACACGTGTGGACAGTTTTCTTGTTCATGGATAACACCCTAGGTGTGCGTTGCTGGGTCATATGCTAAGTACATGCTCAACTTTATAAGACACTGGCAAACTGATTTCCAGAGCTGGCCTGTGAGAGTCTGAAACACGCACCCACACTCGGTCTGTCAGTCATTTTCACCCCAGGCATTCTAAGAGGCGGCCAGGCGTGACGCTATGGTCTTCATCTGTGTTTCCCTGGTGACCAGCAGTGCTGAGCACCTGCTCACCAGCTTAGTCGACATCCTGTATCTTTTCTGGTGACGTCTCCATTAAGATCTTTCACCCATCTTTTCATTAGGCTGTTTTATTTCTGACTAATAAGTTATGAGTATCATTAACTGTGACCATCAATTCATTGATTCAACATGTATTTTTCTGCCAGTGCTCTTGCTGCATCATTTCACACAAAAACCCCTGTCCTGGCAGCCAAGAAGTAAGGAAGAGGGGGCTGGCACTGGGGAACAGCGAGAGCCACCGCCTGCAGCGCCGACACCCCATGTGGAAGCCAGTGCGAGTCCAGCTGCTTCACTTTCGATCTGCCTCCCTGCTGTGGCCTGGGAAAGGAGTGCAAGACGGCCCCAGTGCTTGGGCCCTGCACCCACGCGGGAGACCCGGAAGAAGCTCCTGGCTCCTGGCTTCAGTATGGCCCAGCCCTGACCATGGTGTTCATTTGGGGAGTGAACAGCAGATGGAAGATCTCTCTCTCTCTCTCTCTCTCTCTCTGTGTGTGTGTGTGTCTCTCCCTCTCTGTCTATAACCCTGCCTTTCAAATAAATTTCAAAAAATCTTAAAATAAAAAAAAAAAAAAGAGAGAGGGAGAGAGAGAGAGAAGACAGCTCCATGACACTCTCCTAATTAGCCTAGCCTAGTCCATATCATTCCTCCGTAAGCACAGGGACTCTGTACAATGATTAATGTTTCTGCACAGGATGTACTCTGACACCTATTACATTAAGCACATGAAAACAAATCTTCACATAAAATGAGTTCAGATCTTGAGACTGCCATGAGCTCCATCTGTTTGTTTATACCTTGCATGGCAGGTGATGGCAGTGTGGTTCCTAAACACAGAGAGCTTGGTCTCCCAAGACACACATCCACCCAACACTCACACAAGTAACCGCTTAATCATCACTGTGGCCAGTGCTGTCCGGGAAAAATGGGAAATGCCTTGGAAATGTGAAAGCCTGCCTCACCGCTCCCATCTGCTCACCCGAAAGAGGAATTCGGGAGGTTCAGTGTACAAACAGTCCTTCCGTGAGAGACAGCAGGGAATGGAAACCATCGGAGAAAGCCATCCGGGATCCACTCACACGCCTGACCCACGGTAACAGCATATGCTCATTTGCAGTTCAGGAGTGTTTCCAGCCACAAAATATAACTGAGTTTTATACTGCTGGCATTCCCTGGCCGGACAGACTCAGCCACCACGTTCAGGTGACGCTAGCATTCACCCTGGTTCTCTAGAGAAACGAAAGGGCACGTTTCTGGGACGCTCCGATAAGCCCCATTTGGGTTTTCTTCCATGGGTTCCTAGCTCATTACTCCTGTAGCTCTTTCCTAAGGGACAGCAAGTGTTGGGGCCCTCTGGGCCACAGAGAGCAAAGGCACCTGCTCCCTGGCTGGAGCTGGGGAAAACCCAACCCACCTGGGCTCAGTGACCCTGCTATGAATGCACAGCAGGAGAAACTGAGTCTGGGTCCACTTTCCCCAACAGTCCCCCAACAGGACAGCCAGCAGCACAGCACCTGCTGACGGAGCTCTTGTCCGCCACAGCCGCCCCACTGCGCCCCCTTCAGGCATCCTGCTCCCACACACACAGCATGAGCACTGCATCAGACAAGCCAGCAAAGCAGTTCTTCCCCTAGAACCCATCATCTGCTGACTGTAATGTAAATACTTCACATGGACACTCTGACAGGAGCACCAGTCCAAGTCCCGGCTGCTCCACGTCCAATCTAGTTCCCTTCTGATGTGCTTGGGAAAGCAGTGCATAATGATCAAAACATGTGGGCCCCTGCCACACACTGGGGAGATCTGGATGGAGCCCCAGGGCCCTGGCTTCAGCCTGGCCCAGTCCCAGACACTGCTGCCATTTGGGGAGCCAATCAGCGGAGGGAAGGCTTTGATCTCCCTCCCTCCCTCCTTCCCTCCCTCTTACTCTCTCCCTCTCCTTCTCTCTCCCTCCCTCCCTCCCTCTCTCTCTCGCTCTCCTTCTCTGTAACTCTGCCTTTCAAATAAATGAAACAGATCTGTACAAACATATATAGGCTGGCGACATTTTCAAAATTTAAGTCGAATCAACCTTGCAGAAGACAAGCGGAATTACCAAAGCTACTGTGGCGAGCCCAGCCACTGCGGTAAAGGCACTGTGTCGTATGGACTAAGAGAGCAGGCACCTAGGACCGGGTGTGTAAAACCTGAGGGACAGCCACTTCTTCATGCTCACAGGACACTCACCTAAGGACACGGTCAGGCAGAGTCAAGTGGTGCTGCCCAGATGTCAGCCCAGAAAGCTTTCGCAAGCCCTTCTGAGGAGCCATAAAGCGGAAGCTGCCCTACAAGACCGGGAGCTGCGTGGCAGCAGCCTGGGAGACGACAACCTGCTCTGGCCAAGTGGGTTTCCAGTAAGAACAGCGACTAGGTTTGTATTTACTTATTCTATCTTTAAGAAAGAAATGGGGCCAATGCTGTGGCATAGCGGGTAAAGCCGTTGCATGCAGTGCCGGCATCCTACACGAGTACTGGTTTGGGTCGCGGCTGTTCCACTTCCAATCCAGCTCTCTGCTGTGGCCTGGGGAAGCCGTGGAAGATGGCCCAAGTCCTTGAGCCCCGCACCCGCATGGCAGACCCGGAAGAAGCTCCTGGCTCCTGGCTTC